TTTTTTTTTTTTTTTTTTTTTTTTTTTTTTTTTTTTTTTTTTTTTTTTTTTTTTTTTTTTTGTAAAATTTCAAAACAGGGATTTCGAAGATAACCATTACAGCATGACGTAGGGTCTTATATCTGTACAAACAGTTGTCTATTTATTCGGGACCCGAAACAGCTAAGTGGCTGATAATATTTGAAGTGAGTGGACAGTCAGAATTCCAGAAGTATTACGAGATTTTATTTCTTATAGACAAAACCCCCTATATTGAGTTACATTTGTAATAATTTGTAATTAATTTGTAAAATATTTATTGGGGGGTGAACTGATATTCCCCCTCATATTTTCTGGATCCTATCCCTTTATGCAGGATGTTTAGATGCGGGGCGAGTCGCAAGACTGCTCGCGGAGGCCGCTAGGATTTATTTTTTTATGACGCCTTTGCTTAGCCTCAACTATACCTGGAACCCGCCTAGTTCAACACAATATTCGTTGGGATCGACCCGGAATTGAAAGGCAAAAGGTTTAAGGATACAGCACGGGACGCCCCAGCAATTGAGGAACGCGATTAGAGAGGTTTTAGGATTCGCCTCTCCTCTAGTAAATGTCCTCCTCTACCGATAGTTGTGCGTCGTCCGACGCCGCCGCCGCCGCAGTCACCGCCGCTCGCTTCCGCCACATTGTCGAGGGCGGATGCAGCCGCACCCACGCATCTGTGCTCCGCGCCGCTCCACTGCCGCTGGCGCCAACACCGCGCCAATTATTGCTTCGACACGTGCATGCTCCCACGAGGCGACTCCTTCGTCCGTGCCCTGCCGAGAGCAGCAGCCCCTTTTCCGATAGCGGAAGTGTGTAGATCCGCCGTTCCCCTAAAAATACACATCATGAACATTAATGGAGTTGTAGATTTCCTTTAGATTCGTCTCAGTTTCTGTACGGAGCTGTGTGACGAAGAAATCTCAGGCAGGCGGAGTTTGCTAGTTATGGTAAAGGGAATACGACTTGTTGAATATATGTCTCTCTTTGTTGGTACTTAATACAAAGCCCCTCCGAACATTTTCAAAATTTTCTTAACAAAGGGTCCACATTTTTTCTTTAAATTTCTTGTAAGAGCAAAGTAAAGTACTCTTATAAAGGTGACATATGTCCGATTTTTATGGTTAACTCCGAATTTTTCAAAATTACAAAATGTGATTTTTTTCCGCGTCTTGTATACCTACAAGATTGAAGATAGACTCTATAAAATTTGTTGTCCATAATAAGTTCTTTCATTAAGGTCAAGCACGTACTTTTGAAAAATTTAGTTATTTTCGCGCAATATTGCGAGCATTATGTGCAATTTAAAAAAAATTACAAAAACAAGATTTCCTCAAAAACTGCTCCAAGTTTTTTCTTTAAACTTTTGGTATGAATAGTGCTAAATGCACTTTATAAGATGACATAAACGCCATATTTATCTATTCTTTTGTTTTTTAGATTACAAAAATGTTGCTTTTTGACTTTTCTTGCGTTTTTAATATTTCTATCAGCGGCAATTTCACATTATTATATTTATGAGTACATGTGCTTTAAATAATGTCGGATAAAGTTTCTCGTAAACACAACGGTTTTCTGTGAAAACTAGGTCGAAATTCTGCACTTTCAGAAACGCTTAAACGCAATTTTCTCGAAAACAGCTCCAATTTGTTTCCAAACTTTTCAAACAGATAGTGATAATTTCACTTTTTAATATAGCGAAAAAATGATTTAGGATACTTTTTTGTTTTATCAAAAAGTACACAAGTGTACATTTTTTTAAAGATCTCTCGAATTAATATGCCAATTTACTATGCAGACTCTTGATTTCCTTTATTCAAAGTGTCAGTTTAGGAGGGTCTAAAACCTTTTTATTTCATGTCATTTGACAAATATGCACAATTTCCAAACGGTGTATAATAAGCTATTCAGTGTTTCGCAACAATGAAATTAATGTTAGCTTCATTCCATTCGTTCACGAAGCTTGAACCCGTCTAAATAATGTTGAATTAAGTCAAATAGTATTTTCTCTTAGTATTCCATCAGAAGTGGTGTGTTTGTAATCGGTTTTTATTCTATGACAGAAACGTTAGTCTGTGATTATAATGCTTGGTAGCGAATAAACAAAAATATTAACATAACCGATTACACAAAATAAAAGAATGTTGATACGCTTTTGAGTGTGTTGTTATATCTAGATATTCGTTCCTTTTGAAGGCGGGAACCAAGAGGATGCTCCAGAGTAGTGTTAGTAGGTGAGTAACGGTAAAAATTGTGCTTTTCGTCGATTCTTTTATCATGAATCTTCGCAGTACCATTTTTAAGAATTATGATCGTCCATTCATTGGAGAAGCATTAATCAACTTAACCTCACAAATTGATTTCCTTAATTTTATCCTCTTAAAAAATTTATTTCTTTGTAAAATAATCATTTAATGCATTCGAAAAATATCCTTTATGGGAAGGTGTGATTATAATTATAATTTGATTTCGTTTAGAGATATACACCCTTTTAGCAAATAAAACATTTTAATAATATTAAGTGTACATTAATTTCGGTGTTTTCACTTGCTCCTAAAGTTTTTCATTTTACAGAATATACGTATTTTCATTTATAACCAATCACACTTGCAATAAACAAATTATAATTATAATTGCAATTTTGTACATCTTTCTCTTTTTAAACTCCGTGATCGCCAAGAATTGTATGAATGGGCTTGTAGTCAGGGCTGTATTTCTGTAAAGGCTGAGGAGGCGTTTGCCTTGAAGCCCCATGATTAGGGGGGCCCCGTAGATAAGTAAGTAATGTAAAAAATGATAAGAATAGAAAAAAAATCAAAAATCCCTCTAATGAATTCGTGTTCTGTATTGGGAAGTTGAAAAAGCAGTATAAACTCATCTGAACACTAATAGAATTTTAATATTACCTCTCTAATAATCCTTTTACATTTTGCTCGCTTACCATAAAAGGAATTATCACATATTTTAATTTTTATATTAAATTTTCAGAATAAGTTATGACAAAATGACGTAATAACTTTTTTAACCTCGGGGCTCTTAAAGAATGTAACCTAACGACGTCCCTGCTTGTAGTAACTGAAATTCAACCACAACAAAATATCAATTATTTTTAAGTCTTATATTTATACCATATCCTGTTCGTAAAATAGAAGCTTTCATTTCCGTTCAAAAGCAGAGTGTAATTTCATTGCACATCTTAAAGTTCAGTCTACGCAAAATGTACGTCAAAAATGTTATAGTACGACACAAGAGTATTTTTATGTTCTGCGCGGCTTACCAGACAGAGAAATACAGCTTTGTAGTCTGTGGGCTTGAGGGTTAGTTTCGGAGCAAAATTAATGAATGAAATGAAAACAATGTGTAGTTGAACAATTCAGCGAACCTGGTATACCGTGAATGGGCGGACGTACAGTATGTTGTATTGTACTTAACGGTACAATGATGGGCGCTGTCTTCTTCCTGTTGCATCTTCCCACGGGTCGCCTAACCTCTGAATCAGTGGTTGTGGGTGGTTGCTTTGTTTCTAGGAGAAATTATTCCTAGTTACATGATTATTCACATTAATTATTTGTCATACTTTTTGGCTAGTCAAACTTGTCTCACCTGTCCTCTGGCACTGTAATTTATTGCATCGATGCCAATAATATTGTTATAAAACGTAAACTTTCTTCTTTTCATTATGGTGTTTAATTAGTTATTAATATATTTTATATAACTTTATTAAAAACAATTTTTTTCCGCATTACTTTGTTAATTGAATAAGAATTGAGAATCAAAATATTTTATTATCATGTGGGTAAAAGTTGTGAAACCGGTTCTAAAAGAGAGCATTTGTAATGGGATAATTGACAATTGTTTGCGCCCAATTTTGAATATCCACTTCTTATGTAAGCAACACTATGGATTTCCTCTGTCTGATGGTTCTACAGATTTAAAACAACTAAACGTGATGGTGAAATCCAATTCCTCATAAAATGTGAGAAAGTTTTCGTCTGGTTTATTAAACATAAAAAGAGCTCCAATTGAAATTACATAACTCTGAAACTGAATACTTTATCTCGCTTGACTAATGCCAACACATGTTGGTCTATGAAAGTCCATCTAAGGAACACGAAATTCGGATAAGGTAAAATGCGGAAAAATGCTTGATATTTCCCACCCATCATTTGACAAGAAATGCAGAATATTACAAAGAAGTTGTTGATTACTTTTCCGATATATTATTATAAATTACTATTTAAATTCAATTTATTTCTTTACTGGAGTTCAGGAGCCCTTTGACCTCTAGAATTACTGGGGCCTACAGACCTTGCTCTGATGAAATGATAGTGATAATGACAATTATAGTGGAGAAATGGTAGAGTAAGATATCTCCGAAAAAACGTGCCGGGAGCTCGCTTTGGCCACCACAAATGACACAGAGAATGGTCAGGTGTCGAACCCGAATCCCTGTGGAGGATGTTTTGTGCACGAACCAGAAAGCCTGACTCTCCTCTCTGAAATTTATACAAAATCTGTCCAGTATTCGTAAGACTATTAACATTAATAAGCTATAACATTTTGATGATAAGCTACGTAAAGTATATTCCACATAAGTATATTTTTGTCCAACACACTCTGATAATGATTAGTTGAATTTAAAATTAGTTTGGAGTTACAGGTTAGTTTGAAGGATTCGGTCTGTTAGTTTTTAAAGTTTATTTTTCGCAATTCTTAAAGGTTGATACGAAACAATAAGTTTGTCATAATAAAAGTGTTGGACTATTGATATTAATATTGAAAATGTAATTGGTGTCTTCTCATTTCAAGGGAAGAGGAAGGACTGATTCCGCGTCATTAATTCTTCACTCATTCAGAGCATTTTCAGAACTTTCTACAGTTCGTCCACGGGAAATAGGTGTGACGAAGCATTGGTACGATCAAATAACGTTATAGTGGAAGCAATCCATACAGGAAGATCGGTACCTTTCTGTAGTTCAACTCCGCGACAGACTCGCCTTCGATACCGCCCAATGTTTGCCTCCCAGGTCACAGGCAGTACGATCGGGACTACTGTCTAGTGAGTGTTGGAATCATTCGGTCGTAAACGGCTGTGATCTCCCGAATCGGGAGGGTCTCGGATTCTCTCTTGCCTTAGCTGTCTCCTCGCAGCAAATTAAGCAGCGCGCGAGGCGCTGACGGGCTCGACCTCGCGTTCGCGACAGGCAGCGCTAATGTGGGCCACCGGCGAACTAACGAGCGGGCGGCGCCCCGCAGTGCTCCCGAGGGCGGCGGGCGCGCTTTCTCTGCTGTCGGCGGGGGCGGCGAGAGGGGGGGGGGCAGCA